TGGAGGTTCACAAAGTGCTGCGCCTGCCACGAATTCTGCACATGGAGCTTCACAAAGTGCTGCGCCTGCCACGAATTTTCTGCGCGTCAAGAAACAAGTGAATACTCTAATCACAATGGAGGGACGGACCGGCGACCACCGCAGAAAACCGCAGACAACCGCCGACAACGCAACAGCCAGAGCCTCTAACGGAGCATGGACGTTCACAAAGTGCTGTGCCTGCCACGAAATCTGCACATGGAGGTTCACAAAGTGCTGTGCCTGCCACGAAATCTGCACATGATCTCTGTGTGTGTTGTCTCGGTGTGTGTGATCTCTGTGTGTGTGATCTCTGTATGTGTCGTCCCGGTGTGTGTTGTCTCTGTGTGTGTATTGTCTTGGTGTGTGGTCTCTGTACGTGTTGTCTCGGTGTGATCTCTGTGTGTGTGAGATCTCTGTGTGTGTGTTGTGTGTGTTGTCTCTGTATGTGTTGTCTCGCTGTGGAGGGAGGAGGCGGAGGCGGCGGGAGGCGGCGGGAGGCGGATCGGGAGGCGGATGAGACATAGAAAAGAAGAACCCCACACTAAGATGTGGGGAAAAACGATAGCGTGACGAATGTGAAAAACGATAATACACTCACCAAGTCCTGATCACCTGCAACTCCACAACAAATTTTGAGCAGTCGCTCATATAAGAGAAGTAGGGCAATAGTTTCTGAACACCTCGCACCCTCATCATGCTGGAGATACTCTAGATACTCTAGACTGTTGCATATTCAATGGTACAATCCGGAAAGGAAAGAATCGGGTCAAACATGCAAGGACAATTCCAAAGAGAGCTTGCTTGGGTGCACGAGGCAACAGCGGCTCCGGCGACCTTGCTGCCAAGAGTAAGGCAGCGGAAAAGTGAGATATGCTCGGAGTTTCGTTTCGTCCGATGCATGTCGTTATGATCTTGGACTTTTCGGTAGCACTTCATCGATTCTTGAGCAGGCCACCACTCCTGCTAATTCGACCAGCACTCGAGCAGCGACCACAAAACCTGCAACTGAGTCGGGGGCCTTGACCTGCAATGCCCATACGGGCGGAGTGCATGATTGGTACAGTAATCTTGATTGCTCTTGGACTTACTACTAGGACTACTTGGAACAAGGACGCTACTAGGGCTCCTGGCCTTACTACTAGGAGCAAGGACGCTACTAGGAGCAAAGGGCATCGCTACTAGGACGCTACTAGGGGCACCTGATTTTCACCCAGGTCTTCAAGCTTTGCCACAATCCCCAAGCTGCGGGAGGCAGGAAATTGCAACAAGCGGGTTTGTGCAGACGTGGAACTTGATGGGTGCCTGGTGCCGAGGCACCTCCACAGGAGCGAACAGACCTCTTCCGTAAGAAGATGGAGGCCAGTGGATGCCATTCATTTGGCCAAAAAGTGAGACTCATTTATCGGGCTGTCCAGGTCGACGAGTTATATACTTGATAACTAAGTTAAGTATTAAGTATTAATGACTCAGGTAGGCCCGGTAGGCAACATCAAAGGACATCTCCTAGATCCTTCAGAGAAACACAACAGATTCTGATGGACGTTTTTGCTCCAAACCTCATTTTGGCGTTGTGCTCCAGGTCTGCGCAGTTGTTTTTGACTTTCACAACGACAACATGCAGAAGGTGCCGCTTCGTTGTGTGACAGTCAGCAAACAGTACCTGGTACCTTAATTGCCGATGGAACCCGGACCTTGCAGGATTTGGTAACCGCAGATCTCAAGCAAGTCCGCTATTTTGGTGGTATTGTTGTACATTTAGTCCCGCAAAAAGGCAAGATCTATGTAGCAGCTGGCATGCAATGCTCCGAGATGAAGTCTTGCTAATGGTGGGTCCAAGAGATCTTCAGCGCAGGAAAAAGAAGCCAAGCGCCAGACTCTTTTGGAGATCGTTGAGTGCCCGATTGATGCTGGATTCATGAGACTTACAGTACATGTTTTGCACCACAAGCAGACAGATTCCAATCTCGCCGAACCAATTGTATTTTCCACAATGACATGTTGCAGGCTTGAGAGGCAAAACACATCCAAATCATTAGAATCTAAAATAGTCTAATAAATTTCACTAAGAATCTAAACGCCCAATATCATTAGTGCGAGCGCTTTCTTCAAGCGGCCGGGGGAGCTTCCGTGAAGAAGCGTGAGCTATCCTGCCTCTAGTTACTAGAGGCTAACTAGTCGCCCTTACTGCTTACTTAATTAAGTAGGCGCCTACTTAATTGAGTAGGAAGGCAGGGCCTCGGGCTTTAAAAGATTGCTCCTCACTGAACGTAGGCCGTGTCGAGGTATGTGAACAACACCCGGAACTGCTTCAATGAAGCTTTGATGCAGGATGTTGTTAGCATGGCCCGGTACCACAGCACCCTGATGTCATTGATCGAATCGGGGTTGAGTAGTCCGGCAAAATTGAGATTTCCTGGCTGAGGTTGGGGCAAACATTTTCCGAGCCCTTCAGACTAGGAACAAGGAGCTCTTTTTGATGTGTGTGTGTGAGAGAGTCATTGTTTGTCATCTTCTTTCGAGGGTTCCTGACCAAGAAGCCTGGGTGCCGTCCTCTTCTTGGTGTTCACAACCACTGCAGGATCCCCTTGCGTTCTCTGACCCAGAAGATGTCTGGACCTGAGTTCAGACGCGATGATGTGACATGCATCGGTTGTATCAGATATATAGTCCTCGTATGTCCTCGTTATCATCTCATTGTGCAACTGTGCCGAGGATGAGCCCTCTCTAGAGCGGGCCTGGCCACATTTGTTCGACACTCAAGGGCATGAACAATTTTTTCTGCACTCTTTACGCACCAAGATTGGTGACAGGCTAAAAAAAAAAGTGAAAAGGCTCAAAAGTATTGAGAAGGCAGTTATATAGCTGACCCATTCAAGCAGTCAGTCACTCGCTACTGAGGCAGATTGTGTACGAGTTCTTCCTGAGGTTCGTAGTTTCAAACGATGTTGACCCGAAGATCGCCAGAGGCTGAGGTTTCAGAACTACCTTGACACCAAGCCGCAGCCACAGACGATGTTTCTCGCCTCAGGCCAAACGATTCGTGGACCAAAACTTCATGCTCAAGCTGCTTGAGCTGTTTGATTCCGAGGAAAGCTGCCAGATGCAAAGATTTAGCATGGTTTAAGAAGCTCTTGTGCGAGAGACTATCAAAAAGAATAAATCAAAGGCAACACATATCACAGACCTAGCAAGGCCGCATTATATAAGTGGTGCCAGCTTTGCAGGATCCTCGTGAGCGAGACTACTTGAAGACAATTCTGCACCGCATCTACGGCCAGATCTCTCGGAACTGAGATTTGATAGTCAGCCTTACTACTACGAACAAACTACTAGGGGCTCCTGGCATCGCTACTAGGAGCAAGGACGCTACTAGTAGCTCCTGGCATTACTGCTAGTTACTAGAAACAAGAAGCTACTAGGAACTACTAGTAACAAGGGCATTACTCCTAGTAGCAAGAAGCTACTAGGAGCTGGTGCGCTTCCTTTATATAAATATTAGAGCCTGTTTGTAGTTGGACAATTCTTTTCTTTTGAAAATCATAAGCATTGGGGTCGGTTGGGGGCTGGCGAGGGCCTTTGACATTCTCTCTTCTGGGGTGCATACCCCATAGGTGCCCGATTTTGCTTTATTCTTTCATTGTCCGATTGTGAGGCAAATTCATGGCCCTTCGGTCTTTTATCCGTCGTGCCATCCAGCACGTCTTCTTCAAGGCCTTGAGTGCATGGGGGACTTGTACAGCAGACTTCAGATATGTTCAGAGGATTCCTTTCAAAAGGCACCCAGTGTCCCATCCTGGAAAGATCCACGCAATTCCTACTAATTAGGTATATCCTTTCACATTGTTTGTCCTCAATTTGCTTCTTCAATTGTGGCGCTACCCTTGAAATTGATGATTGCGGTTTTTCAGGTCATCTACGAGTCAGAGACTCACAATGGCGTGGGCGAGCTGCTTGAAATCCTAGGTAGCATCATCAATGGCCATCCTGACGAGCTTGATGGCTCCACTTGTAGTTTGGAAAAAGGAAGGTAAGGCCCCCCTTAATAAGGGCTTAGGGGGCCTTACCTTCCGTTTTTTCATCTCTTAGACCACTTCCTTTAAATGTTTTTCATGATTTGGACAGTTTAATCAATTTTTCCAACGGCCAGGCTTTGCTCTTCCTTTGAAGGAAGAGCACAAGGACTTCCTGATCAAAGCGCTCATCCCATTGCACAAGGCAAAGCCTGAATGGCTTGAGATTGTATATATAGTTGGATCGTGTTGGTTGGGATCGTGTTGAATGGCTTTAGGTCGACGACACGTAGGCACTACAAAGCTCAGTTTGGGGGCACCGCTTCCTTCAGGTGAAGTCCTTGGCCTCCTTCTATCAGCAGCTGTCTTACTGCATGGCCCAGTATGTTGAAAAGGAGCCCCAACGCGCCCAGCTCCCTTCCGCCCTTTCATTGGATTTCAGTTCGGCACCAAAGAAGGACGCTACTAGGGGCTCCTGGCCTTACTACTAAGAGCAAGAAGCTACTAGGAGCAAAGGGCATCGCTACTAGGAACAAGAGGCTACTAGTTTTGAGGCGCTCTGCTCTTGAAAGCCATCCAAGCTGCAATCCCACTGTATCCAGGATCCGCGTTTGGCATACGACATCATCACATCAATGCTCCGCTACTGGCCAGTCAGGAAACTCAAATTCCACCATACAACTGCACCAACTTCACTTCGCTTGGCTTCCTTCAAAAAGGGGCTTGTGACATTTTACGGAAAACCGGTGCAATTCTTGTTTGAAGATTGCTACCGTCAGGTATCGATCACGTCAAAGCAAGTGCTGTTCCTCAATGAGCTGGAGGACTTGAGCACCGTGTGAATCACTGCATCCTATTCTGCAAGATTACATCTAAACATCTAAACTAGCAGGACTAAGAAGCATTCCATATGTGACTTGATCTTACAACTGAGATCCAGGCTCTCAACTCCACAAGTGCTTCGCACTTCCCACTTCCCCCGATGCGACTGTGACAGGAGACCTTAGAACTCACACAGCCGCCAGAGTTTCACCGAATGCAGGTGAGACTGGGTTTGTGAGAGGTGCTGGGTTTGTGAGAGGTGCTGGGCCACCAGGAATACGCACATGACAAGTTGTTGGGTTAAAGCGAAAAGGATAAGGACACTCTGCTGATATGTGTGCACATGTTTCACAGTTTTCAGCGCTAAGAGTACAGATGCCAAGCCATGCCACGAACGGGATGGCTCTTCTGCCTTCCAGGACGTGCTCTTCCGGCGCTTGGCCCTTTGCATCACCTGCCCACACTTCCAGGTGCTTCATGTCTTTAAGTTGAGTCCCTGACCAACATCTCCTTTGTATTATGCATTACTATATATACATGTATATACAGATACATGTATATACAGGATTCTAAATAATTCTATGTAGTTGCAAGTGAAATGCTATTGTTGTTGCATGACAGGTCGCTGAGAGAACGCTGTTCTTTTGGAACACAGTGACGTGGTTGCAGCTGAAAATGCATTGGACAGGTGTATATATCACGAAAGGTAGCTTGAGCTACCTGAGTTCTCCTTGCTTTAGCAAACATGTATTTACAGCCTTCGGCATGCCGCCGGCCATCAGCTCGAGCCCGCACGGCTGGTCGCCATGGCCCGGGCGTGTGTAGCTGTGTGTAGCTATTGTGTTTTTTTGTGTGCAGGTTATGCAAAGGTTAGCTAACAGAGTGTACGATATCAAAGTGCGTGAAAACAAGGGGTTTGTGCGCGACATGCCTTGGAACATGCACGCTGGCTGGAGATGTTTGTGTCAATGAGGTGCGGCGTCAAAACGAAGTAGTGTAAGAGGCATGTAAGTGGAGAGCAACTGGCCAAAAACAAAAGCTGCGCTGGTGTAAAAGCGAGTGGGCAGCGAACAGTACTTGCAGAGAGCGCGTGTGTAACACAGAGCTTCTGCAAAAGCGACATGTAAGCGAAAAAAAGTAGCGAGGAAATGGTTGCAAGGGGCTTGTGCGCGACATGACTTGGAAGGTGCACAGGTTGCGGTGTCAGAACGAAGTCGTGTAAGAGCCATTGCCTAGAATAACGCCGTGACAGTGTAAGCGATATAGAACCCAATTGGCAGCGAGTTCCCGCAAAACGCGTGGAAAAACCAAGGTTGTTATACGTGTTTCTACACACGCGCGACTGTGCGCCAATGCATGGCCTGCTTGAAAAAGACGAAGAGGGGGAAGAGAAGAGAAGGAGAACGAGAACGAAAAGAGAAGAGAAGCGAAGACAAGAGACGAGACAAGGCGACAAGACAAGACAAGGCGAGAGGGGGGTAGGAGCGCCTCAACATTAAAAGACGAAAAATGAGTTGGGAAGATGATTTTCTTTATTAAAAGTACGAGCACCTCAACATTAAAAGAAGAAAAATGAATTGGGAAAATGATTTTCTTTACTAAAAGTACGAGCACCTCAACATTAAAAGAAGAAAAATGAATTGGGAAGATGATTTTCTTTACTAACAGTACGAGCACCTCAACATGAAAAAA